TTGCTAAATACTACCCAGTGCACTGCTAACTGACAGTGTGTGTGTCTGCCTCAGACCAAGTGTGTGCGCACGTTCGTGTTTATGTGGGTTTATGTGCAGGTGTCTTTGTATGTGTGTGTCTGGGTGTGTAGGTCTGTGCGATGCATTTGTATGTTTCCTTGTATGTCTCTGTCCATGTCTGAATCTCTGTGCATGTTTGTGTGTGTCTGTGTCTGTGTGTTGATGTGTGTCTGAGTGTGTGTGTTCCATGAATGCATATGTGTGTCTGTGTGTCAGAGCATATGTGCATTTCTGTGTGTGACAGTGTTTCGGGGTGTTTGTGCGTGTCTATGATTTGTGAGTGTGTGTGTCCGTGTGTGTGAATCAGTGTGTGTCTCTGTGTGTGGCCTCTCAGGCTGAAGATTACAGTTTCAAGTGAAACTGAGGCTAGCGTTCTCCACTACAAAGCTGCAATTTGCTTGCAAATGTCCTCGGGGAGGTGGTAGCCAGATAGGGGAGCACCTGCTGCAGAGATGAAGTCGCAGAGCAGAGCCCAGCAGCCTGTCAGCGCCGCCACCGGGTGTCCCAAGGCCACTGGGGCTCCCTCCTACCCTGCACACACCATGGATCCTGGGGTACACCCTGCCCTGCCCTTGAGAAAGCAATCATTGGGGAGGAGTCAGAGTGATAAAAATACAAACTTTGTTGCCCACAAAAAAATCACTTGCGACTTAAGCTCAACTCCCCGTTGTCATGGAATTGACAATACCGATAAGGATCAAAGGGACAAGAATAGACTAGAAGAGCTGTTTCCCACTTAACTCTTGGAATCCTTTTCTTTCACCCTCTCTCCTCCCTCTGAAGAACATTCTAGATGCTGCAGTGTGACCCTCTGTCACTCTGAATGCCAGTGCCCTCGCTGTTCTAGACAAACACCCCCTTCCTGGGAAGAGTCCCTCCTCCCTCACCCTGGCAGCTGCCCTGACTGCCCCACTCCCCATGCCCACCAACCATGTGACCCAAGCTGGGCCAATCAGAATTCTCCCCTGGGATTTTTTTTTTTCACAATGGAACCAGGAGGGAGGGCTCAGGCCCTCCTGGGGAGTGGAGGTGGGAGGCTGTGAGCCAGGAATTGTGGGAGGCCAGAGGCCAGAGACAGAGAGGGCCCCCAGGCTTCCTTGTCCCTGGTTCTAGCCTCACCCTGGCCCTAACCCCAGTTTGGCTACCTGAGCTAATAAACTCCCCCTAGGGTCTGAACTCCTCTGAGCTGGGTTTGTGTCCCAGAAAGCTCCCCAAGCCCTGATGCAGGCCCTACCCCACCATACCCATCCCATTCCCATCTTCTGGTCCTGGCTTTCCTGGCTTCCGCCATCTCATCTCGGCCCAAAGGTCACCTCTTCAGGAGCTGTCCCTGACCACCCCATTAAATGAAACCCCCATTATGCACATGGATCACAAGTTCTGCCAGTCACAGTGCCGACACTGGTGATGGAACAGTCACTGCAGAGGGCGTGTGCTGCTTGTCCTTCTGCTGTAGGACCCCCTCACCCCACCAACCCCACCATACGATCTACATCCCCCCGCCCAACTACCGCTGTGGGCACCTGACAGGCTGACTGATTGCGATACTCCAACCTGAGCCCGGTGATTGACTCAGCAGGGCATGTGATCTTTGCAGGGCCAATCAAAGCCTTCCCTGAGCTTTGCTATACAAACATGGGGGACAGAGGGCAGCTCTCCTGCTTGGGGACTGTGAGTTCGTGACAGTGTGACTACAGCTCCGAGGGTAAAGCCAGCTATGTGGAGAGGGTGATGGATGGACTTTGAGAATCTGATAAAATCCATAGATTCCTCCACCTGGAATTATAGGTGCACCCACACCCCTCCAGTCCCAAGCCCCAGAAATACTCCACAAACAGCGTTATGCTAAAAAGGGAACTTATGGCCTCACAGTGTAAGTGTCAGGTAAGGCTGGACCCAGGATCACAAATAATGCTGCCAGGGATCTGCCTCTCTTTCCACTTCTTGTTCTGTGTGTCTTTCTGAACTTCCTTCTGCACATAGGTGCTGGGCACACAGCGGACAGGTGGCTGCAGTAGCTTGATCCTATCTTCCCAAGTTAAGAGGTGCTATGAACAAAAGCCACGTCGGGGACCAAGCAGAAGTTCTGAGGAAGGCTGTTGGGCCAGGCTCGTGTCTTCTGCCCTTCCCTGACCCACCTCCACGTTCCAGGTATGCTATCCCGTGACTGGCCTGCGTGACACTTTGTGGGGGGAGGAAGCCTTCCAAGCTGACACACACTGTAGCAACCACAGCCCTCCCCTCCAGACACACAGCAGTTCAGGGCCCACCAGCCACTACTGACCCCTTTTCTTTACAGGTAGAAAAACAGCCATGGATCAAGGTCACCCAGTGAGTGAGGAGCAAAGTCTGGAACTGAAATAAGTTCTTCAAATGCCTCATCCAAGGCTTTCTCTTAGAAAGCCTAAAGCCTATTAAATCCTTAAAGGGCATTATCACCAGGACATGCATTGAGTTTCCTTAATCCTGCAAGAGGATTAGGAGAATTCAGCCAAGATAAGCTCCTTCCAGAAACAAAACAGCCACCTTTCGCCAGCTCCTCCTAGACTGGGAGCAGCCCCCTCAGGATCCTCAGCCTGAAACCCGTCCCCACCTCGTCGGCTCACAGTCCATAATTATAATGACCACGACAGTTCTGGAAGGTTCCAAGGGGACAGGTGTTCTTGGCTGACAAAAGAGCCAAGATTCAAAATTTGGAACTTAGGGTCAGGCCCACCCCTAAATTTGCAAGGCCCAGGTGAGGGTGAAACCTCGAAAGGCCCACCTAGCACAGTTAAGAGTTGTAAGTCACGCAAACTGTTCAACTAATACGTTCTGTCTCATGCCTTTCTAACAACCTGGAAGGCCAGAAGTGAGCTGAGTTCCCTGCCAGGACTTGGTGGTGGCAGGTGGCATCCCTGGCGACCTCTTACATCTAGTCACTGGCCCTGGCCAACCCCGGCCCACCCCCATCTTCCTTTCCATCCCTGCCAGACAGTCAGATGTCGCTCATGATGAGTGTGGACATCCCAGACGGCAAGACCAAGCTCTTGTCCTTCTTCCCCGAAAACACACACACCTCCTTGGCCCCCTCAGTCTAGGGGTGCATGCACCAGCCACTTGGGCCTCTGGAGAAAAATCTATGCAGGCCCCAGACGGGGGCTCAGGACTGCATCGATGGGGAATTCAGCCTCCCAAGGAGGACCAGAAGGGGGCCTGGGCAAGGGGCCCCTAACCTGGGCTTAGGGTGGTTCTGCTGGGCCATGTCCATTTGGCAACATCTGGGGGTGAACAATGAGGCGGTGACGCTGGAGTGACCAGCCTCGCAGGAGTTTGGAGCTTGGGTTTGTCCCGAGAACAAGTGGGAGCCATGGGAGGATTTAGTGCTGGGGTGGCAGGATCGGCTCTGTCCTGGGAGAGGCGCCCTGGACCCTGTGCGGGGAGGGGGCGGAGCAGAGAGGCCAGAGGCCAAGGAGGAGGCTGCTGCAGCTGTCCAGAGAGGTGACTCCAGGCTGGAGTCAGGGGATGGGGAGTCTGGGGTGTGTTTCGGGGACCCTCAGAGGGAAGGACTGCAGGACACTCCAGATGTGGGAGACAAACCGTGATGTGCAGATAACCACTGGCTCTCAGGCGGGAAAGGCCCTGATGTGTATCGTTGTCCGGGGAGTAAATGTTCCCACCAGGGCCGATTTCCAGATGCCAACGGGACATCGTTGGCCTCGGAGTTGGGAAGTGAGCTACAGCAGCACCGTGAGAAGGGCTTTCCACTTGCGGATACGGGCGACGTTCTTAACCCAAGAGCATCAACAACAGTAGAATAATTAGGAGGTGATGAGTTTTGAGTATGCACTACCTTTTTAGGTTTATCTCATTTAATTTTTAATAATGGCTAGGTACAACAGCCATCTCACAAATTTTCCTGAAAATGTAACAATCAGCTCTCCAGAGCTGGTGGGAGACATTCCTACACAGCACTGGAATGTTCCAGTCAGAGCCGTGCACTTCAGCAAAGAAGCTGACATCCACGTCCACTCTGGGGAGGTGAAGGCCACAGGGTCTGTGCGGCCTCACCAAGAAGCGCTGAGCAGCTGGCTACGGCCCTGCAAGGGTCAAGTTCGCCCCAGTGGCGCGATTCCCCAGGCATTTCATTGTTGTCCCTACTGACTGCGACTCACGGCTGCTGGGCACAAATTCAGCTTCAAGGCTCAGACTCCAAACCTAGTCTCCAGGGACCCTAACAAGGAGCTGAAGGGTCCGGGTGGGGTGGATAATCCTCTATCCCCACCTCTCTGTGTCTGTCTCTGAAACGCCCCAGTCGGTGATGTCACCCATCACAGCCCCCTGACGCGCCAAGCTGCTTAGAGAGGGGTCCGGGCAGGTATTTCCCTCAACAGATGTTCTCCATCCGAGGGGAGGTGCTATCTCTCTTGGTTTACCTTTCTACGCCATAAATGTCTGGATTGGTGAATTATTAGCTTTACATTTAAAGGGAATAATAAAGTTATTTTCAGCTTGGGAACAAATGAGTCCAATAGCAAACAAAATCCCGAAGGCCGGTGCCGGGAACTCCTGCGCCATCCTCGCGGTGGAAGTTGGCAGCCTTCCCCTGCCAGGGAGGGGCTCAGTCCCAGGGGTGGGCGCCAGGGGATGTGAGGGCAGAAGGGAGATAGGGAGTGTCCTGGAGCCACACGACTGGACAGAGTTTTACACACCAGACACCAAGGCCCAGAGAGGGTGACTGCCCTGCCCTGGGACACACAGCCTGTGGGTGCCTGGTCCCATTTGCTGAAGCTCTGCTGGGCACTGTGGCTCCAGAGACTGCTCCAGTGTTTTCTCAGCAGTTGGGAACAGATGGCTCCAACTCCCACCCACAGAAGCCAAACATTTTCCCTGGTTACTCTGCTAATTTGCTCACAAGCCTCCTCTTGTAAATAGAGAGTACAAAGGCTCCCTCTGCGCTCGTGTCTGGTGAGCAGATTCTGACGCCACTGCAAGCGGCCTTAGAAGGAGCACAGGCAGGTGTCAGGTAAGGTCTAGGTGAGGCTCAGGTAGGGTGCGGTGAGGCCAGGAGCCCTGGGTGACCACTGAGTCACAGGGAGGGCGCTGGCTCATGGCCCAGGCAGGCCCAGTTCTGGTCCTGCCTCTGGGGCACCCTGGGGCCAGCCTCAGGCTTTCTGGCATCAGTTTTCTCATCTGTGAAATGGGCACGATAATTCCAAAGGCGCGAGACATGAGCTATCGTGCAGGTGCTCTGGGCACGGGATGAATCTATAGGGGTCTGAGCGTCCTTCCTGCACTCATCTGGGGTTAGCAGGGTGGGGGCCAGGCCCTGGGCCAGCGCCACCTCCCCCACTCCCAGCTCCTTCTCCCCAGAATTCTTTCAACAGCACTTACTGAGCCCTCCTCTGTACCCAGCCCTGTCCCGAGGTCCAGAGAGGAGCTGATTCCTCAAGGCTTCTGTGCTATGTGACCTTGGGCAATTGCTGTCACCTCTGGGCATCATTCCCATCTACAAAGTGGGGTGCCGTCCAGCCTCCTCCAGAGGCCACGGTGAGGATTCCATGTGATGAAGCCTGACGTCTGCGAGTGCTCAGGGTCGCAGAGGTCAGGAAGGCAAGCCTCAGGGAACTGGTGTGGCTGGTGCTGCCAGGGAGGGGCTGGCTGGGGGGCCCCTTTGGGGGGGTGCAGGGTCGGGGTGCCCAGGCACACAGAAGGGCTTGGAGCTGGCTGGTAGTGGGGTGGTCGGGGCTCCAGCAGGCCCGGGGTCCCCTGAGGCTCCCATACCCCCTCCGCCGGCCACCTTGTCCACAGCAGCTGGTAATGAAGAGCTTCTCCCGGCTAAGAGCTCCTGGGGCCAGGCCAGGCAGTTCCTCCGGCCCTGGGCAGCCTCCAGCAGCCGCCTGCAGCCTGTGCGAGTCTTCACTCCACCTCTCTGCCTGGGGTGTCCGGGGGATGGGGACCCAGTCCTGGAAGCCTGGCTGGTTTGTGGTTCCCCAATCTCCAGGCCTGGGGTTTGGGGGCTCCAGAGAGCGGTACGACCCGCAGGACGGATGGGGGCTGGAGGGGTGGGCATCTGCCTGGCCACACTGTGTGACAAAGCCAAGCCCCTGCGCCTCTCAAGCCTTGGCTCCCTCTGTCCCAGCTTCTCCTCCCGGAGTCCCGAGAGGATCTGAGCAGACAATGCACTTGGCCCAGAGCCTGGCGCGTAGCTGGTGTGATACTCGCCACCCCCACCCTGTCCTGCAGAGCCGTGACGTCTGGCACGCGGCGCGCGGGCTGGCCTCGCGCTCTTAAGAGAGGACCCCCAGGGTTTCGTCTGCGGATTCAATGTGCCTGTTCTGCCCAGACGGCTGGGTCTTGTTTTCTCCCGTGGGTTTGACGTCATGGTTTGGACCCTGTCCTGGCACAGCAGAAAGGGGCTGATACTGTACGTCCTGGCCCGGCCACACTGGGCAAAGGGCCTTCTCCTCCCTGGGCCTGAAGCTTGGGGAGTTTGCAGGGGGCATTTCTGTCCATGGCAGGCTTTGAAGCCTTGGCTCCCGGGCCTGCCCTAAGGTGGCCCAGTAAGTACTCCTGTCCTGGGGTTGCCGTGAGCATTAATGCTAGTGTGTCGCCGTGACAATGGCTGTTGCCATGGTTGTGAGGCCACCATCTTCCAGTGGAACCCCGGCTTACCACTCCCCAGCTGACTCCCTGGCTCACTGAGTACCCCAGTCCCTGTAAGAATTAGAGAAGGGATGTATGTGAAGGCCACCCTTGCACCAGGGGGTCTGAGGAACACACAGCCAGCGGGGTCGCTGTCCCTCCCTGGGTGGCGTATCTAAGCAGGGCGCTCACCTGTCTCTGTCTGCTCTCGGCTGCATGCACCACTTGGTGGGAAAGATTCTAATGGGCTTTAAGTTAATAAGTTGGGAATAAATTAGGTTTGAGGCCGAAGGAAGCAGATGGCCCAGCCACCAGGGCTGGGAGCAGCTCGGCTGGAGCGACGGCAGGCGGCTTGGGGGGCGGGGTACACCACTGGGCTGCCTTTATTTTTCTCTTCCCCTCAACATTTTATCACGAAAATTTTAAACGTAGAGAAAAGTGGAAAGAACTGTGCTGTAAGTACTCACATGCTGTCTCCGGCTCCCTGGGTGGCATCAGTTATCCGTCTGTCTGTCTACACGGCTGCCCTCACCTGCCAATCCAGACTCTCGATGCACTTCCAAGTCGGTTTCAGACAAGAGGACACTTCACCCCTAAACATGCACATCATTAGCTAGAAGCCAATATTTGTCATCGTTGGGGTTTTTTTAGGCAAAATCTACAAACAGTGAAATGCAAAAATCTCAAGTGAACCTTTGCTGGGTTTTTAAAAAAAGCACAATTACGTAAGCAATTGCCTGTCGCGCCTGTGTAGTGTAGGGGCTGAGGCGCTTGGCCCGCCAAACGTTCACTGAGAAATCACTAACAGGAGGCAGATTGATTAATAGGAGAAAAAGCACTCAAATTTATTTAATGTGTATACACAAGAGCCTTCAGACTGAAGACCCAAAGATGCAGGGAAAATTGTGCACTGTTATGCAGGTTCGATAAAGTATAGACGGCCGTGTAGAAACATGACTGGACACAAAGGATTGATCTGATGCTTACAGACTGAGTGCAGACCCAGCAAAGTCTGGCTATCTAGATTCTTCCTGGCCTCTCTGAGCAGCATCCTGCCTTCTGAGTGTGGGCAGGGCCCTCTCTGGAATGGGGGTCTTATGACCTGCAGTCAAACAAGGTAGGTCAGATAATTTCTTTATGGCCAATTTTCACACAGTAATTTTAGGTTTTATGGCTGGCTTTCAGGAAGGGGGTTCTGGCTTTTTTTTTTTTTTTTTTGAGACAGAGTCTCACTGTGTTGCCCAGGCTAGAGTGAGTGCCGTGGCGTTAGCCTAGCTCACAGCAACCTCAAACTCCTGGGCTCAAGCGATCCTCCTGCCTCAGCCTCCCAAGTAGCTGGGACTACAGGCATGCGCCACCATGTCCAGCTAATTTTTTCTATATATTTTTAGTTGTCCGATTAATTTCTTTCTATTTTTAGTAGAGATGGGGTCTCGCTCTTGCTCAGGCTGGTTTTGAACTCCTGAGCTCAAACAATCCACCCGCCTCGGCCCCCCAGAGAGCTAGGATTACAGGCATGAGCCACTGCGCCCAGCCTGGGGTTCTGGCTTTTATGACATCCCCCCCCAACTGGGGAAGAGGGATTCTAGTTTCTACGGCTAGCTTCATGGAAGGACAGGACTGAGAGGCAGGAGGACGGGAGGTCAGAAAAAAACTTTTGCTTCTGAGGCCTTCGTGTTGGGGTACTGTTTTCTGAGCCCCAACCGTAGGAAGGCCATTGAAATCTCTGAAAAGTTTTTTATTTGGGTCACTTGGATCTTCCAGCTATATAAGCCTATCACCTGCAAATAATAATAACTTAACTCCTCTTTTCCAATTTTATATATTCTGTTTCTTTTTCTTGTATTAAAATGTCAGCTAGGACTCTGAAGGGGAGAGGAAGGGAACGTTAAATGATAGAGGAGAGAAGACATCCAAGCCTTGCTTTTGTGTTTAATGGGATATGCCTTTTGACTTGCAGTACACGTAAAATATCCCCTCAGTCCTATTCTATTAAAGTTTTTAGGCCAGGTTCGGTAGCTCATGCCCATAATCCCAGCACTCTGGGAGGCCAAGGAGGGAGGATTGCTTAAGGTCAGGAGTTTGAGACCAGCCTGAGCAAGACTGAGACCTCCGTATCTACAGAAAAATAGAAAAATTAGCTGGGTATGGTGATACACACTTGTAGTCCTAGCTACACAGGAGGCTGAGGTAGGAGGATTGCTTGAGCCCAGGAGTTGGAGGTTGCAGTGAGCTATGATCATGCCACTGCACTGTAGCCTGGGTGACAGAGAAAGACTCTCTCTCTCAAAAAAAAAAAAAAAAAAGGTTTTTAAAAAAATTAAGACTAGGGCCAAGTGCAGTGGCTCACATTCACAATCTCAGCACTTTGGGAGGTTGAGGCCGCAGGATTAGTTGATGCCAGGAGTTTGAAACCAGCCTGGGAAACATAGCAAGACCTCTTCTCTACAAAAAAATTAAAAAATTAGCCAGGTGTGGTGACATATACCTGCAGTCCCAGCTACTCAGGAGGGTGAGGCAGGAGGATCACTTGAGCACAGGAGTTCGAGGTTGCAGTGGGCTATGATCAGGCCTGGGTGACAGAGTGAGCCCTGGTCTCTTAAAAAAAAAAAAAGAATGGATGTTTCGTACATATTTTTTCCTGAACCTATCCTGTGGTCAAGAATAGATGTTATATTTTATCAAATGCTTTTTTAGAATCCTTGTAGCTGATCACATGGTTTTTTTCTCTGCTCTATTAACATGATGAATTATATTATTGGCGCATGTTAATGACATTCCCTATATGAGACTATCCTTTCATTTGGAATGTTGTGAGTATTCTTACTTTAATATGCCCTGGATTTTGTTTGCTAATATTTTACTTAGGATTTTATACTCATATTCATAGGTAAGACTGGTTTGTTGTTTTCTCAGAGTAATCTTTGTCTGATTTAGGAAGCTTTTCTTTTCTTTTTTCTTTGCTCCAGAATATTTTGAGTTGCAATGCGGTTCTCTCGCCTTTAAAAATTTGGTGGAATTCTTTAATTCTATGAAACTGCCTAAGCCTGGTGTTTTGGAGAAGGAAGTAGTAGTTTAACAAATTTCTCCATTTCCACTCCAGTGATTGTTCTATTCAGATTTCTTTCTCTTCTGATAGCAACTTTTCTGCTCATTTATGGTTTCCCAGGAAATAATTTTACCCAGTTTTTCCAATTATTTGCATAAAGTGAACAGTATCTTTTCTATTTCTTCCCATTTCCTGTTTCGGCCTCACTCGCCACTTTCTCACTGCGAGCTTTCCACATTATTATAAATGCTTCCTAACCACATAGCCTAGTGGTGACTTAAGATTTCTCTGTGGGGTTACACATTATTGCACTGATTTTCTTGAGTTTTTCAAATATAATAAT